GCCTTTAGTCACATCGTGCTCATGTTCTTACTAATGCAGTATCTGGTTAGCTCATTAGGCTAACCGATCAGTGCAAACCTTATGCAACTGCAATCACAATAGCAATCTTTTCACAGTAAGCACAGTAAGCAATCGGTAGAGCACAGTAGAGCACTGCGCTTGTAACGCCAAGGTAGTGGGTTCGATCCCCGGGACCACCCATACACAAAAATGTATGCACGCATGACTGTAAGTCGCTTTGGATAAAAGCGTCTGCTAAATGGCATATTATTATTATTATTATTATTATTATTATTATTATTAACACCTTCAAAGATAAATACTGTTATAAAAGTATAGTACTGTAAACTCTACAAATAACATTATCTGAACTGAACAACCAATATCATCACTTTGACTTTAAATGGAAAAACATGATAGTGCTAAGAACAGCTTAGATAATAACTATCTCTTTAGTTGTAAATGAAGAAAAATAAACGTATTACCTTCATTTCTCTCGCACTTCTTCCAGTTCTGAATTTTCCATGTGGCAAAAGTCCTTTTCATTCCTTTCAGCTAATTAGCTTATCTGGCTAATTGATGCTAAATTACGTTTTTATTTGAGGGATTTAGGGGGATTTTATAATAATAAATAAATAATATGCCATTTAGCAGACGCTTTTATCCAAAGCTTAGTTATAGTTGACTATGATGACATGTATTATGTGTATTCAAGTAAATCTATCTTGAATAGTTGGAAAGTGTGCTCAAACAAAATCAGGATATGTCACGTAACTAAAGTGTCTCCTGAGTGGCGCAGTGGTCTAAGGCACTGCATCGCAGTGCTAACTGTGCCAATAGAGATCCTGGTTCGAATCCAGGCTCTATCGCAGCTGGCCGCGACCGGGAGACTCATGGGCGGCGCACAATTTGCCCAGCGTCATCCAGGGTAGGGGAGGGAATGGCCAGCAGGGATGTAGCTCAGTTGATAGAGCATGGCATTTGCAACGCCAGGGTTGTGGGTTTGTTTCCCATGTGGGGCCAGTATAAAAAATTGTATTCACTAACTGTAAGTTGCTCTGGATAAGAGTGTCTGCTAAATGACTAAAATGTAAATGTTTAAAGTGTGTTAATGTTCCAAAACTGACCACTAGGTGGTGTATTCACAGGTGAGCAAAAAGTGTAAACACACACTTCAAATCATGAGATTGTGACATTTAAAGACTTCAGATTTTTGGTTTAGGGGCATTCTATGGTCGTCTAGAACACTGTAGTGAGCTCGGAAAAATGAGGACTCCAAAAATGTCCTCATATTTCTGAGCGTCCTGACATTGAAGGTGAGTTTTCACAAAATTGTCTTCATATGTCACAAAAACGAGTACACACACACACACACACACACACACACACACACACACACACACACACACACACACACACACACACACACACACACACACACACACACACACACACACACCTGCAGAGAAGAATGGGAGAAACTCCCAAATTCAGGTGTGCCAAGCTTGTAGCGTCATACCCAAGAAGACTCGAGGCTGTAATCGCTGCCAAAGGTGCTTCAACAAAGTACTGAGTAAAGGGTCTGAATACTTATGTAAATATCATATTTCTGTTTTTTATTTTTAATACATTTGCAAACATTTCTAAAAACCTGTTTTTGCTTTGTCGTTATGGGGTATTGTGTGTAGATTGGTGAGGTGAAAAAAACAATTGAATCCATTTTAGAATAAGGCTGTAACGTAACAAAATGTGGAAAAAGTCAAGGGGTCTGAATACTTTCCGAATACACTGTTTAGTATATAAAGAGTGTGAAGGTACAGTTGAAGTCTAAAGTTTACATACACCTTAACAAATACATTTAAACTCAGTTTTTCACCATACCTGACATTTAATCCTAGTAAAAATTCCATGTCTTAGGTCAGTTAGGATCACCACTTTATTTTAAGAATGTGAAATGTCAGAATAATAGTAGAAAGAATGATTTATTTCAGCTTTTATTTATTTCATCACATTCCCAGTGGGTCAGAAGTTTACATACACTCAATTAGTATTTGGTAGCATTGCCTTTAAATTGTTTAACTTGGGTCAAACGTTTCGGGTAGCCTTCCACAAGCTTCCCACAATAAGTTGGGTGAATTTTGGCCCTTTCCTCCTGGCAGAGCTGGTGTAACTGAGTCAGGTTTGTAGGCCTCCTTGCTCACACACGCTTTTTCAGTTCTGCCCACAAATGTTCTATAGGATTGAGGTCAGGGCTTTGTGATGGCCACGCCAATACCTTGACTTTGTTGTCCTTAAGCCATTTTGCCACAATTTTGGAAGTATGCTTGGGGTTATTGTCCATTTGGAGGAACCATTTGTGACCAAGCTTTAACTTACTGACTGATGTCTTGAGATGTTGCTTCAATATATCCACATAATTTTCCTTCCTCATGATGCCATCTATTTTGTGAAGTGCACCAGTCCCTCCTGCAGCAAGCACCCCCACAGCATGATGCTGCCACCCCAGTGCTTCACGGTTGGGATGGTGTTCTTCGGCTTGCAGGCGACCCCCTTTTTCCTCCAAACATAACGATGGTCATTATGGCCAAACAGTTCTATTTTTGTTTCATCAGACCAGAGGACATTCCTCCAAAAAGTACGATCTTTGTCCCCATGTGCAGTTGCAAACCGTTTTCTGGCTTTTTTATGGCGGTTTTGGAGCAGTGGCTTCTTCCTTGCTGAGTGGCCTTTCAGGTTATGTCGATATAGGACTCGTTTTACTGTGGATATAGATACTTTTGTACCTGTTTCCTCCAGCATCTTCGCAAGGTCCTTTGCTGTTGTTCTGGGATTGATTTGCACTTTTCGCACCGAAGTACGTTCATCTCTAGGAGACAGAACGCGTCTCCTTCCTGAGCGGTATGACGGCTTCGTGGTCCCATGGTGTTTATACTTGCGTACTATTGTTTGTACAGATGAACGTGGTACCTTCAGGCGTTTGGAAATTGCTCCCAAGGATGAACCAGACTTGTGGAGGTCTACACGTTTTTTTCTGAGGTCTTGGCTGATTTCTTTTGATTTTCCCATGATGTCAAGCAAAGAGGCACTGAGTTTGAAGGTAGGCCTTGAAATAGATCCACAGGTACACCTCCAATTGACTCAAATGATGTCAATTAGCCTATCAGAAGCTTCTAAAGCCATGACATCATTTTCTGGAATTTTCCAAGCTGTTTAAAGGCACAGTCAACTTAGTGTATGTAAACTTAGTTTGTTAACAGGAAATTTGTGAAGTGGTTGAAAAACGAGTTTTAATGACTCCAAGCTAAGTGTATGTAAACTTCCGACTTCAACTGTAAAGAGAGAGTAAAGAAAACAGTACACACACACACACACACACACACACACACAGACACACACACACACACACACACACACACACACACACACACACACACACACACACACAGACACACACACACAGACACAGACACACACACACAGACACACACACACACACACAGACACACACACACACACACACACACACACACACACAGACACACACACACAGACACAGACACACACACACAGACACACACACACACACACACACAGACACACACACACACACACACACACACACACACAGACACACACACACACACAGAGAGAGAGAGAGGAGGCTTGTGGTTCTTTGATTTTCTTTGCGGTAGTAGGGTCTGGTCAGTAGCATGTTGTAACAGGTGGTTTCTCCCAGCAAATTATACCTGTTACCCCACTCTCTCTTTATTCAGACCCGTCTAAAGGTTGTTCTAACGCACTGATGGGTGTAATGCAGGAAACATCTGTTAGATGAGACTCATTTGTCTGTCCCAAATGGCACCCTATTCCCTATATAGTTCACTACTTTTGACTAGAGCACCCCCCTATGCGCCCTGGTCAAAAATAGTGCACTATATAGGGAATAGGGTGCCATTTGGGACGCGTTTGTTCTCTGACAGGGAAACAGCACACGATATAGTGACAGATGACAACATGACTGTACTTGCAAGATGTTTCTGTTGGAAGGGATGATAAGAGACTTGCTTTTCCTCATCACCAAAACCAGGCAGTGAAAAATAATGTTGTGGGAAATTGAACAATATTCTCTAATACGTTGTTATAGTCGAGGGCAAGTTTGCCTCTCAAAATACTTGGTGAAGCGCCTGTCAAATATTCCATAATTTTGTCTACAAATTCAAAGTGAATTTAGAACATATTTAAAATGTATGAAAATGATAAGAGATCAATATGAATCAATTGTTTCTTAGTGTTGACTGTTGATGGTGTTAAAAATTATAATTTGCACCTATTTTCCCTAAAAAAACCACATCTTGACACATTTGCCATTATAACCGTAACAATGAAAGTAATCTATCAATGTAAAATGTGTCTACAATATTATCTCAACACCTAATCAATAAAGTATACTAAATAAATGAACTGGTCTGTTTAGATTATGGACAAATGTTAACAAGAACCAGATGTGCTTGGACCATGTTCCCTTGAGCGCGATGGTCATGACGCATCCAAATCCATCCTCAGTTTAAAATAGACAATATTATTTACATGAAGTACAATTTACAACAAGAATAAACAACAGGTCAACGAGGGAGCAACAAACGTTCACAACTAAAAAGTAAAGAGCATTTCATGACATTTCAGTCCATAGAACTCTCATGGCTTCCAACCAAAATATATATATATATGAGCCTATGCCAATATTTTTATACAATGAGCAACAATTGGGGAAGTGTGCTGTTGCCATTTTCGTTTGTGAAACGTTTGGTAAAAGCTCAAGCAATCAATAGTCAACCAGAGGTTGGTGCTCACGTGTAACACTGTGTTTAGCTAAAGAGGAGCAGTTGTCCTGGGGCGTTGGTTTCACAGAACTTTCAATACCTCTTTTCAGTCGCAGTTGGTGAGAGAAAGAGAGAGAGAGAGGTGAGGGACGTGCGTGTGTCAAGAGGATTTCCATTGAAATGGAGTGCTTCAGTATTTTTGTTCGTTTCATGTTGGTAAGCGTTGCCTCTGCTGGGATAGATGGAATACATTGGACATATACAGGTACGTATTCATTGATGACCTATTTACTTTTAGTTATCTATTATGATTTAGTTTTGTTTGGACTCCAAATCCCCAGAAAAAAACCCACAAAGTCTTGAACTCATTCTCAGATATTTCAATTCATTTTTTTATGTATTATTTCTAAAGATGATTGACTTAAAGTCTGAAAAAAAGGGATGAAGAGAAATAGTTGTAGTTTTAGACATAATAAAACTGATGAAAGTTTGCTGTTTAAATCATATCCTGCATGTTTTCAATGTGCTATTGCTGTTTAAATCATATAGGTCTACTGCTCATGACGACAAACAGGTACCATGATGATTACATCCCTAGCGTAGACCGTAAACCTTTATGATTACAGCAAGGAAGACATATGATTACAGCAAGGAAGATATAATTTGTGTGTCATTATCATAGTGTGTAATGTCTGAGCCCTTCAGACAGCCATTTGGTTCGTGACAGATGCAGAGTTTACTGTAATACCTCTCTTACAAACCACCACTCAGACATTTGGCTTTAGAGGTTTTGTGGTTGTGAAGGTAGAGGGAGAACAGAGGAACTTTATACAGTGGTGTATCGTTGGCTCCTTCTCTCTTCTACCCGAACAAACTGGCCTCTGTGGGAATGTCTGCTTGGACTATAGTAGGAGGCGTGTCCAGTGAATACATTGGGCTAAGTTGACATTGTTGCGTTGTTCATCGTCTTCGTTGTAACCCGCACCGTTCCGTTTCTCCCTACGTCAGAAGGGGCGCAGGACCAGGTGCACTGGGCAGAGCACTATCCTGCGTGCGGCGGCCGGAGACAGTCCCCGATTGACATCCAGCGGCGGAACGTGCGTCACAACCCCCACATGCTGCAGCTCGAGCTCACCGGATATGAAGCTCAGAAGGGCAACTTCCTCATGAAAAACAACGGACACTCAGGTAAAAAGTAGCGTGGGATGAAGTGCACCAAACAAACAAACAAAACCAGATTCCAACTTCATGTTCCCGGTGAACTTGATAACAATTTTAGCCTTTACTGTTTTGTTATAGTGAATGAACGACGAACATTCTATACAATTGATACATATTTGTTCAACAATAACATCTTGAACATTGTATCTAAATTAGTTAGGATTGGTCCCTTTTGCCTGATCTCAATGGGACTACTCAAAATTGAGTTTATTTGAAGAAACGCATCTGCTAAATGGCATATATTATAATATTATTATTATTAAAAATGCCTTCTTGTGTTGGGCAGTTGAAATCGTCCTCCCTCCCAGCATGGTGATCACCAAGGGTCTCCCTGCGGGCTACACGGCCGTCCAGATGCACCTCCACTGGGGTGGCTGGGACCTGGAGGAGAGCGGGGCAGAACACACCCTGGATGGCATCAGATACATGGCAGAGGTGGGATGGTGCTACACGTACACTACCCCCCCCCCCCCCCCCCCCCCCCCCAAAAAAAAAAAAACAGTTAGCTGTTTCTGAAGGGTGTAAAACAGCAGAGCAAATAGAGGTGGGCTCGACTTGACCATAGCTGAGGCCTTAACAGCAGCCTTTGTGCCATCATGACGCTCATTGTCATGGCAACATCACAAGGAGTTGACCTGGTAGCACAAACGGTTCTGAGACCAGGCTACCTCTAACTCAACAGTGCATCTCCGTTATATATATCCATACGACAGTCACAAGTCCAGCATAGCACACATATTCAAGGATTAAGTTATTCGATTTTTCATGTTGACGGTCGTTCGCAGCTAAAAGCTCAATTGCTGTATAAATATTGTAGGCTGATGTGGCTACGAGCGGCACTACCCCTGAACAACACATCACTATTTCTTCTGTTTCTGAAGGATGTGAATACTACGCTTTATTATCCATAAAACAGTCCAGCAGAGCAAATATTCAATATATATTTATTTTTACAGTACCAGTCAAAAGTTTGGATACACCTACACATTCAAGGGTTTTTCTTTATTTGGACTATTTTCTACATTGTAGAATAATAGTGAAGACATCAAAACTATGAAATAACACATATGGAATTATGTGGTAACCAAAGAAGTGTTAAACAAATCAAAATATATTTTAGATTTTAGATTCTTTAAAGTAGCCACCCTTTGCCTTGATGACAGCTTTGCACACTCTTGGCATTCTCTCAACCAGTTTCATGAGGTAGTCACCTGGAATGCTTTTCCAACAGTCTTGAAGGAGTTTCCACATATGCTGAGCACTTGTTGGCTGCTTTTCCTTCACTCTGCGGTCCAACTCATCCCTAACGATCTCAAATGGGTTGAGGTTGGGTGATTGTGGAGGCCAGGTCATCTGATGCAGCACGCCATCACTCTCCTTCTTGGTCAAATAGCCCTTACACAGCCTGGAGGTGTGTTTTGGGTCATTGTCCTGTTGAAAAACAAATTACAGTCCCACTAAGCGTAAATCAGATGGGATGGCGTATTGCTGCAGAATGCTGTGGTAGCCATGCTGGTTAAGTGTGCCTTTGTATTCTAAATAAATCACTGACAGTGTCACCAGCAAAGCACCCCCACACCATCACACCTCCATGCTTCACGGTGGGAACCACACATGCAGAGATCATCCATTCACCTACTCTGCGTCTCACAAAGACACGGCAGTTGGAACCAAAAATCTCAAAATTGGACTCATCAGACCAAAGGACAGATTTCCACCGGTCTGATGTCCATTGCTCATGTTTCTTGGCCCAAGCAAGTTTCTTCTTCTTATTGGTGTCCTTTAGTAGTGGTTTCTTTGCAGCAATTCGTCCATGAAGGCCTGATTCACACAGTCTCCTCTGAACTGTTGATGATGAGATGTGTCTGTTACTTGAATTTATTTGGGCTGCAATTTCTGAGGCTGGTAACTCTAATGAACTTATCCTCTGCAGCAGAGGTAACTCTGGGTCTTCCTTTCCTGTGCGGTCCTCATGAGAGCCAGTTTCCTCATAGTGCTTGATGGTTTTTGCGACTGCACTTGAAGAAACTTTCAAAGTTCTTGAAATTTTCCGGATTGACTGACCTTCATGTCTTAAAGTAATGATGGACTGTCGTTTCTCTTTGCTTATTTTAGCTGTTCTTGCCATAATATGGACTTGGACTTTTACCAAATAGGGCTATCTTCTGTATATCACCCCTACCTTACAACACAACTGATTGGCTCAAACGCATTAAGAAGGAAAGAAATTCCACAAATGTACTTTTAACAAGGCACACCTGTTAATTGAAATGCATTCCAGGTGACTACCTCATGAAGCTGGTTGAGAGAATGCCAATAGTGTTTAAAGCTGTCATCAAGGCAAAGGGTGGCTACTTTGAAGAATCTCAAATATAAAATATATTTGGATTTGTTTAACACTTTTTTGGTTACTACATGATTCCATATGTGTTATTTCATAGTTTTGATGTCTTCACTATTATTCTACAATGTAGAAAATAGTAAAAATAAAGAAAAACCCTTGAATGAGTAGGTGTGTCCAAACTTTTGACTGGGACTGTGTATATATACAGTGGGGAAAAAAAGTATTTAGTCAGCCACCAATTGTGCAAGTTCTCCCACTTAAAAAGATGGGAGAGGCCTGTAATTTTCATCATAGGTACACGTCAACTATGACAGACAAATTGAGAAAAAAAAATCCAGAAAATCACATTGTAGGATTTTTAATGAATTTATTTGCAAATTATGGTGGAAAATAAGTATTTGGTCACCTACAAACAAGCAAGATTTCTGGCTCTCACAGACCTGTAACTTCTTCTTTAAGAGGCTCCTCTGTCCTCCACTCGTTACCTGTATTAATGGCACCTGTTTGAACTTGTTATCAGTATAAAAGACACCTGTCCACAACCTCAAACAGTCACACTCCAAACTCCACTATGGCCAAGACCAAAGAGCTGTCAAAGGACACCATAAACAAAATTGTAGACCTGCACCAGGCTGGGAAGACTGAATCTGCAATAGGTAAGCAGCTTGGTTTGAAGAAATCAACTGTGGGAGCAATTATTAGGAAATGGAAGATATACAAGACCACTGATAATCTCCCTCGATCTGGGGCTCCACGCAAGATCTCACCCCGTGGGGTCAAAAATGATCACAAGAACGGTGAGAAAAAATCCCAGAACCACACTGGGGGACCTAGTGAATGACCTGCAGAGAGCTGGGACCAAAGTAACAAAGCCTACCATCAGTAACACACTACGCCGCCAGGGACTCAAATCCTGCAGTGCCAGACGTGTCCCCCTGCTTAAGCCAGTACATGTCCAGGCCCGTCTGAAGTTTGCTAGAGTGCATTTGGATGATCCAGAAGAGGATTGGGAGAATGTCATATGGTCAGATGAAACCAAAATATAACTTGGACAACTCGTCGTGTTTGGAGGACAAAGAATGCTGAGTTGCATCCAAAGAACACCATACCTACTGTGAAGCATGGGGGTGTAAACATCATGCTTTGGGGCTGTTTTTCTGCAAAGGGACCAGGATGACTGATCCGTGTAAAGGAAAGAATGAATGGGGCCATGTATCGTGAGATTTTGAGTGAAAACCTCCTTCCATCAGCAAGGGCATTGAAGATGAAACGTGGCTGGGTCTTTCAGCATGACAATGAACCCAAACACACCGCCCGGGCAACGAAGGAGTGGCTTCGTAAGAAGCATTTCAAGGTCCTGGAGTGGCCTAGCCAGTCTCCAGATCTCAACCCCATAGAAAATCTTTGGAGGGAGTTGAAAGTCTGTGTTGCCCAGCGACAGCCCCAAAACATCACTGCTCTAGAGGAGATCTGCATGGAGGAATGGGCCAAAATACCAGCAACAGTGTGTGAAAACCTTTTGAAGACTTACAGAAAACGTTTGACCTGTGTCATTGCCAACAAAGGGTATATAACAAAGTATTGAGAAACTTTTGTTATTGACCAAATACTAATTTTCCACCATAATATGCAAATAAATTCATTAAAAATCCTACAATGTGATTTTCTGGAAAAAAAAATCTAATTTTGTCTGTCATAGTTGACGTGTACCTATGATGAAAATTATAGACCTCTCTCATCTTTTTAAGTGGGAGAACTTGCACAATTGGTGGCTGACTAAATACTTTTTTCCCCCACTGTATATATGCTAATAATATATACTACAATATATACTCTGCTGGACTTTTTGTATGGATTATTTACTTAATCCTCTTGGTTCCTGGAGGAACATACGGCCTGTACTAAAGTTATCCTCTTGGTTCCTGGAGGAACATAGGGCCTGTACTAAAGTTATCCTCTTGGTTCCTGGAAGAACATAGGGCCTGTACTAAAGTTATCATCTTGGTTCCTGGAGGAACATAGGGCCTGTACTAAAGTTATCATCTTGGTTCCTGGAGGAACATAGGGCCTGTACTAAAGTTATCCTCTTGGTTCCTGGAAGAACATAGGGCCTGTACTAAAGTTATCATCTTGGTTCCTGGAGGAACATAGGGCCTGTACTAAAGTTATCATCTTGGTTCCTGGAGGAACATAGGGCCTGTACTAAAGTTATCCTCTTGGTTCCTGGAGGAACATAGGGCCTGTACTAAAGTTATCCTCTTGGTTCCTGGAGGAACATAGGGCCAGTACTAAAGTTATCCTCTTGGTTCCTGGAGGAACATAGGGCCTGTACTAAAGTTATCCTCTTGGTTCCTGGAGGAACATAGGGCCTGTACTAAAGTTATCCAAAGTAGCCGGTCTTGGGCTGCTTTATCACCCTCTAGCCATGACAAGCGGATCTTCTTGAGTTGTTGTATGGATAAAGTACAGATTAGTTTGAGTCTGCTGTACATTTGGATGTTCGCATGCTAAATGATTGTGTCCCTTCCAACTGGTTTGACAACTGGTGCAACTTGCAACTTACAATTTGTCCTCTGTGTTTCAGCTCCACGTTGTTCATTATAACTCTGATAAGTACAAGAGCTTTAAAGAGGCCAGCGACAAGCCTGATGGACTGGCAGTTCTAGCCTTTTTCTATGAGGTGAGATCTGAAGACAGGTTCTCTATCTTTCTTCTTCTTCTTCTCCATCTTCTTCTTCTTCTTCTTCTTCTTCTTCTTCTTCTTCTTCTGTATTCCAGTATATGAACAGAACAGACTTGTGGGCAACTGGCCCGGTGCCCTCTGTAATAACATTTGATAGTATAAAAGTATCGGACATCCTGCCTGCGCGGTTAATGGGCCCATTGATTGGCCGATTGCGTGCTGTTTGGCCCGCTGAGTGAAAGTTGGCTTCTAGAGATAGGAACAAATGGCTGGCTTCAGGTCATGGGCAGGCAGCCAGGCAGCCAGTCAGCCAGGCAGCCAGTCAGTCAGGCAGCCAGCCAGCCAGCCAGTCAGCCAGGCAGCCAGGCAGTTACCCACAAGGCTGTTCTGTGTGTCATCTGTTCTGAGTTCATATACTGGAATATACAAGAAGAAGAAGAAGAAGAAGAAGAAGAAGAAGAAGAAGAAGCCAGCCAGCCAGCCAGCCAGCCAGTCAGTCAGGCAGCCAGCCAGCCAGCCAGTCAGCCAGGCAGCCAGGCAGTTACCCACAAGGCTGTTCTGTGTGTCATCTGTTCTGAGTTCATATACTGGAATATACAAGAAGAAGAAGAAGAAGAAGAAGAAGAAGAAGAAGAAGAAGAAGAAGAAGAAGAAGAAGAAGAAGAAGAAGAAGAAGCCAGCCAGCCAGCCAGTCAGTTCCAACACTTTGCTGTGGGTTAGAGGTCATCGCTAAGGCAACGCTGCCACAGGGCACAGGCATCCTTCCCAGCTACCTAATGGACCGCAGCTGTGGAGCTGGTGTGTGTGTGCCGGTGTTCTATTGCCCTATTACTGGTAGTCCTGCTTACTGAGACAATGTTCTAGTCACACACACAGCTGGAGTTTGGAGTTTTCTCTCCCACCCCTACAATGAGGGAAAAAATAGTATTTGATCCACTGCTGATTTTGTACGTTTGCCCACTGACAAAGAAATGATCAGTCTATAATTTTAATGGTAGGTTTATTTGAACAGTGAGAGACAGAATAACAACAAACAAATCCAGAAAAACGCATGTCAAAAATGTTATAAATTGATTTGCAAGTATTTGACCCCCTCTCAATCAGAAAGATTTCTGGCTCCCAGGTGTCTTTTATACAGGTAACGAGCTGAGATTAGGAGCACACTCTTAAAGGGAGTGCTCCTAATCTCAGTTTGTTACCTGTATAAAAGACACCTGTCCACAGAAGCAATCAATCAATCAGATTCCAAACTCTCCACCATGGCCAAGACCAAAGAGCTCTCCAAGGATGTCAGGGACAAGATTGTAGACCTACGCAAGGCTGGAATGGGCTACAAGACCATCGCCAAGCAGCTTGGCGAGAAGGTGACAACAGTTGATGCGATTATTCGCAAATGGAAGAAACACAAAATAACTGTCAATCTCCCTCGGCCTGGGGCTCCATGCAAGATCTCACCTCGTGGAGTTGCAATGATCATGAGAACGGTGAGGAATCAGCCCAGAACTACACGGGAGGATCTTGTCAATGATCTCAAGGCAGCTGGGACCATAGTCACCAAGAAAACAATTGATAACACACTACGCCGTGAAGGACTGAAATCCTGCAGCGCCCGCAAGGTCCCCCTGCTCAAGAAAGCACATATACAGGCCCGTCTGAAGTTTGCCAATGAACATCTGAATGATTCAGAGGAGAACTGGGTGAAAGTGTTGTGGTCAGATGAGACCAAAATCGAGCTCTTTGGCATCAACTCAACTCACCATGTTTGGAGGAGGAGGAATGCTGCCTATGACCCCAAGAACACCATCCCCACCGTCAAACATGGAGGTGGAAACGACCGGGAGACCCATGGGCGGCGCACAATTGGTCCAGCGTCGTCCAAGGTAGGGGAGGGTTTGGCCGGCAGGGATGTGGGTTCGTTTCCCACGGGGGGCCAGTATGAAAAAAAAAAAAAAAAAACATTTATGCATTCACTAACTGTAAGTCGCTCTGGATAAGAGCGTCTGCTAAATGACTTAAATGTAAAATGAAACATTATGCTTTGGGGGGGGTTTTCTGCTAAGGGGACAGGACAACTTCACCACATCAAAGGGATGATGGACGGCGCCATCTACCGTCAAATCTTGGGTGAGAACCTCCTTCCCTCAGTCAGGGCATTGAAAATGGGTCGTGGATGGGTATTCCAGCATGACAATGACCCAAAACACACGGCCAAGGCAACAAAGGAGTGGCTCAAGAAGAAGCACATTAAGGTCCTGGAGTGGCCTAGCCAGTCTCCAGACCTTAATCCCATAGAAAATCTGTGGAGGGAGCTGAAGGTTCGAGTTGCCAAACGTCAGGCTCGAAACCTTAATGACTTGGAGAAGATCTGCGAAGAGGAGTGGGACAAAATCCCTCCTGAGATGTGTGCAAACCTGGTGGCCAACTACAAGAAACGTCTGACCTCTGTGATTGCCAACAAGGGTTTTGCCACCAAGTACTAAGTAATGCAAATCAATTTATAACATTTTTGACATGCGTTTTTCTGTATTTTTGTTGTTGTTATTCTGTCTCTCACTATTAAAATAAGCCTACCATTAAAATTATAGACTGATCATGTCTTTGTCAGTGGGCAAACATACAAAATCAGCAGGGGATCAAATACTTTTTTCCCTCACTGTAGCTCTCCTGTTTGCCTTTTTTTAAAGGAGAGTATTTTTGTTTTCATTCAGACATAAAAGAGAGGGGATGAGAGATACATGGAATATGAAGAGACACACATGGAAACATACTGATACGTAGTTTATCTCTCCTGTAGTCATGTTGCCAGTCTGGTTATCTCTCCTGTAGTCATGTTGCCAGTCTGTTTATCTCTCCTGTAGTCATGTTGCCAGTCTGTTTATCTCTCCTGTAGCCATGTTGCCAGTCTGGTTATCTCTCCTGTAGTCATGTTGACAGTCTGTTTATCTCTCCTGTAGTCATGTTGGCAGTCTGTTTATCTCTCCTGTAGCCATGTTGCCAGTCTGGTTATCTCTCCTGTAGTCATGTTGCCAGTCTGTTTATCTCTCCTGTAGTCATGTTGACAGTCTGTTTATCTCTCCTGTAGTCATGTTGCCAGTCTGTTTATCTCTCCTGTAGCCATGTAGCCAGTCTGTTTATCTCTCCTGTAGTCATGTTGCCAGTCTGGTTATCTCTCCTGTAGTCATGTTGCCAGTCTGTTTATCTCTCCTGTAGTCATGTTGCCAGTCTGTTTATCTCTCCTGTAGTCATGTTGCCAGTCTGTTTATCTCTCCTGTAGTCATGTTGCCAGTCTGTTTATCTCTCCTGTAGCCATGTTGCCAGTCTGGTTATCTCTCCTGTAGTCATGTTGACAGTCTGTTTATCTCTCCTGTAGTCATGTTGGCAGTCTGTTTATCTCTCCTGTAGCCATGTTGCCAGTCTGGTTATCTCTCCTGTAGTCATGTTGCCAGTCTGTTTATCTCTCCTGTAGTCATGTTGCCAGTCTGTTTATCTCTCCTGTAGCCATGTAGCCAGTCTGTTTATCTCTCCTGTAGTCATGTTGCCAGTCTGGTTATCTCTCCTGTAGCCATGTTGCCAGTCTGGTTATCTCTCCTGTAGTCATGTTGCCAGTCTGTTTATCTCTCCTGTAGTCATGTTGCCAGTCTGTTTATCTCTCCTGTAGTCATGTTGCCAGTCTGTTTATCTCTCCTGTAGTCATGTTGACAGTCTGTTTATCTCTCCTGTAGTCATGTTGGCAGTCTGTTTATCTCTCCTGTAGCCATGTTGCCAGTCTGGTTATCTCTCCTGTAGTCATGTTGCCAGTCTGTTTATCTCTCCTGTAGTCATGTTGCCAGTCTGTTTATCTCTCCTGTAGTCATGTAGCCAGTCTGTTTATCTCTCCTGTAGTCATGTTGGCAGTCTGTTTATCTCTCCTGTAGTCATGTTGCCAGTCTGTTTATCTCTCCTGTAGTCATGTTGGCAGTCTGTTTATCTCTCCTGTAGCCATGTAGCCAGCCTGTTTCTGTTTCAGCCAACGTGTGGTTGTTTTGCCAGTTCTGTTCGGACAAAATTAATGTGTGGCCGTGCACGACGGTGGTAGGACTGATCACCGACGCCGATGTGGCAGCCTACACAGAAGAAGTCAGAGACCTGGCAGTGTGCTGCCAGGACAACAACCTCTCCCTCAACGTTAGCAAGACAAAAGAGCTGATCGTGGACTACAGGAAACGGAGGGCCGAGCACGCCCCATCCACATCGACAGGGCTGTTGTGGAGCAGGTCGAGAGCTTCAAGTTCTTCGGTGTCCACATTACTGAGAAACTATCATGGTCCACAGACATCAACACAGTCGTGAAGAGGGTACGACAATGCCTCTTCCCCCTCAGTAGGCTGAAAAGATTTGGCATGGGCCCTCAGATCCTCAAAAAGTTATTCAGCTGCACCAATGAGAGCATTTTGACTGGCTGCATCACCGCTTGGTATGGCAACTGCATGGCATCCGACCGCAAGGTGCTACAGAGGGTAATGCGTACGGCCCAGTACATCACTGGGGCCAAGCTTCCTGCCATCCAGGACGTCTATACCAGGCGGTGTCAGAGGAAAGCCCTAACAATTGTCAAAGACTCCAGCCACCCAAGTCATAGGCTGTTCTGTCTGCTACCACACGGCAAGCGGTACTGATGCACCATGTCTGGAACCAACAGGACCGTAAATAGCTTCTACCCCAAATCTATAAGATTGCTAAATAGTTGTCTCATCACATATGCTGCTGTTACTGTTTATTATCTGTCCTGTTGCCTAGTCACTTTACCCCTACCTATATGTACATATCTACCTCAATTACCTCGTACCCCTGCACATCGACTCGGTACTGGTACTCCGTGTATATAGCCAAGTTATCGTTACTCGTTGTGTATTTATTCCTTGTGTTATTATTTTTAAAATGTTATATTATTTCTATTGTTTTCGCTCCTCGTTGTTGGGAAGGGCCTGTAAGCGTTTTACTGGTAGTCTACACCTGTTGTTTACGAAGCATGTGACAAATCAAATTTTATTTGACATTTTATTTTATTTGAAACCTTTAGCCAGTTAGTGTGATGGCCATTTTGAAAACACCTACAACAGCGATTTAATCAACAACCTAACTCATTCTCTCCTGTTGCCTAGTTGCCATTCAGGACGGTTTCTTTTTTTGCCAGTTTGGTTGTTTGCCTCATTTTGGCAAGGAGTTCATGTAGCCTAGGAATGGAGATTCCATCACTTACCTGTTCGTAGGTTTGATCGTGTTTTTTTCTGGTATAGGACGGACATTTTGAGAACACCTACTACAGCGATTTCATCAACAACCTGGGAAAAGTCAAGTACGCAGGTGATTTGGTTTTCTTTGGAATATTATTGAATTTATCTACATTAATAACAGTATTACTGAATCTATCTACATTAATAACAGCATTACTGAATCTAAATAACAGTATTACTGAATCTATCTACATTAATATCAGTATTACTGAATCTATCTACATTAATAACAGTATTACTGAATCTATCTACATTAATAACTGTATTACTGAATCTATCTACATTAATAACAGCATTACTGAATCTTAATAACAGTATTACTGAATCTATCTACATTAATAACAGTATTACTGATGCTCAGTTTCTGTTTTCACCTGTTGGGATGTTGTACAGGCCAGTCCATGAACATATCCACCCTCAACGTGCGTTCCATGCTGCCCGAGAACCTGAACCATTTCTTCAGGTACCAGGGCTCTCTCACCACCCCTCCCTGTTACGAGAGCATCCTGTGGACCGTGTTCGACACGCCCATCACTCTCTCTCACAACCAGGTACTATACCCATCACCCTCTCTCACAACCAGGTACTATACCCATCACCATCTCTCACAACCAGGTACTATACCCATCACCATCTCTCACAACCATGTACTATACCCATCACCCTCTCTCACAACCAGGTACTATACCCATCACCATCTCTCACAACCATGTACTATACCCATCACCCTCTCTCACAACCAGGTACTATACCCATCACCATCTCTCACAACCAGGTACTATACCCATCACCCTCTCTCACAACCAGGTACTATACCCATCACCATCTCTCACAACCAGGTACTATACCCATCACCATCTCTCACAACCAGGTACTATACCCATCACCCTCTCTCACAACCAGGTACTATACCCATCACCATCTCTCACAACCAGGTACTATACCCATCACCATCTCTCACAACCAGGTACTATACCCATCACCCTCTCTCACAACCAGGTACTATACCCATCACCATCTCTCACAACCAGGTACTATACCCATCACCCTCTCTCACAACCAGGTACTATACCCATCACCATCTCTCACAACCATGTACTATACCCATCACCCTCTCTCACAACCAGGTACTATACCCATCACCATCTCTCACAACCAGGTACTATACCCATCACCCTCTCACACAACCAGGTACTATACCCATCACCCTCTCTCACAACCAGGTACTATACCCATCACCCTCTCTCACAACCAGGTACTATACCCATCACCCTCTCTCACAACCAGGTACTATACCCATCACCATCTCTCACAACCATGTACTATACCCATCACCATCTCTCACAACCAGGTACTATACCCATCACCATCTCTCACAACCAGGTACTATACCCATCACCATCTCTCACAACCAGGTACTATACCCATCACCATCTCTCACAACCAGGTACTATACCCATCACCATCTCTCACAACCAGGTACTATACCCATCACCATCTCTCACAACCAGGTACTATACCCATCACCATCTCTCACAACCAGGTACTATACCCATCACCATCTCTCACAATCAGGTACTATACCCATCACAATCTCTCACAACCATGTACTATACCCATCACCCTCTCTCACAACCAGGTAACCCTGCGCTCTCTCACAAACCTTCTGATCAGGTTTGGAGGGTAAATCACAGAATAAATGGTTTATTCCGAAAACACAGCAGTAAGCAGCAACGCGTAAAACACTCCAGTGCAGAAATACGGCGCACTGGGAAACAACAAGGCACACGGGTGAATATCGTGGAGATACAAAATACAAAGAGCTCCACAGCGCTAATCTAACCTCCACAATAAACAATCACACACAAAGACAAGGGGGCAGAGGGAACACTTATACAGGTACTGGTGAGGGGATATGAACCAGGTGTGTGTAATGAACAAGACAAAACCAATGGAATGATGATATGAGGAGCGGCAGTGGCTAGAAGGCCGGCGACGACGAAGCCTGCCCGAACAAGGAGAGGAGGCAGCTTCGGAGGAAGACGTGACAATTATTGAATTCATTCATTCATTCATTCACTCTCCTTCCTCTCCTCTCATCCAGATCAGGAAGTTGGAAAGTACTCTGATGGACATGGACAATAAGACTTTGTGGAATGATTACCGCATGGCCCAACCTCTCAACGACCGCGTGGTCGAGTCCTCCTTCCTGCCTCGCCTGGGGAAAGGCAGTATGTATACAGAACCTACTCTCAGGGAATTTAAAAAGATCAACTAAACTGGAAAATATTATTATATGTCTATACAGGGCCTGCTGTATATGATAGGGAATGGATTAACTGGTTGTCCTACTATGGATGTAGCCTCCATTTGAACAGGCAGCACTGTATCTACAGATGTAGGATCTTAGTTTGAGCCAGTTTGCTACAGCAGGAAAATGATCCTGCAGCAACAGGATACGTTAATTATTATGTGGATTATAATGAATGAATATTTTTTTAGGGGTTGATACATTTTTTGTTAGGGTAAACCTAGTCTGAAATTTCAAATAGGAAATTACAAACTTTAGAAGTCTTTTAAAAACTCAAATACACTACAAGTTTTCATTTCCTGCTTAGCAGGAAAATTCTCAGCAACAAAAGAATGATAAATGAAGATCCTACATCTGTATACGGGCCCCTGGTGTGTGTGTTAGGGAATGGATAGTCTTGTGTTGCCAGACTGTAATTGTGCCTTCGCTTTTCTTACTATTATTACATTTTCCCAGCAACCCTTGGGACAGGAAAAGGCTGAGATCAATGTTAAGGAATGGATCAACTAAACAGACAAATAGATATAGATTGATATATCTCGTATTGATGCTCAACATATGTATTTAATATAGTGGATTTCTAAGCCCTGATTTAGATGATGCTCATCATATGGATCCCATCTGAGAGGAATTAGCCTCAAGGTCTTTCCCCATGTTCACTTCTCCCTCCTCTATGACGCATGGTTCACTCCTCTCTCCCTCTCTCTCTCTCCGCCCCTCTGCTCTATCTCATCGAGAAGAGGAGCGCTCCGAGCGGGAGGAGAGAGGCTGAGGCGAGAGAGATGACCACCGCCAGCGGGCGTCCCCGCGGCGCGCGTCCTCTGCTCTACTCTCTCGAGAGAGCTCGCTGCCGCTCACGCTCTCTATCTTCCTCTCTCTCGTATCTCGAGATCTCGCTCCGCTCTCCTCTCTATCTCTCTCTCCGCGAGATAGGCTTCAGAGGCGAGGTGCAAGAGGAGCAGAGGGGTCGAGGACGAGAGAAAGCGAGAACGGCAGAGAGAGAGGGCGGAGAGAGCGGAGAGAGTAGAGCGGGAGGGACGCGAGAGAGGATGCGCGACGCGAGAGTCAATCTCCCTCTTTCTTTTAATCACTATCTCTTCCCTCTTCACTCTCCCTCGATATACTCTCGCTTCTCTCTTGCTCTCTCTCTCTCCTCCTCCCATCTCGTCTATCTCTCTCTCCTCCTCTCTCCTACCTCTCTCACTCTCCTCCCTTCTCTCCTCCCTCTCTTTCTCGCTCTCTCACTCTCTCTCTTCCTCTCTTTCTCTCTCTCTCCCTCCACTCAGCGTTCTGTCGCCAAGATGAAATCGAATCAAGGCTTCTGAAGATCGAGGGTCTGATTACTTCTCTTGGAAAACACATACATTCAAGTGAGATATATATCTGTATTGACATTTAAAAGTTAACAATGAGTGAAGGTTTTATCTGAACTGACTCTTGGAACTGTGTTTGTGTTAATGTAGGTGCAATTGGGAATGCAAGGCCTTCCAAACAAGGTGAGTAGTTAGGTATGGAGTACATCGTACTCTACGAGTTATATACTACGTGTAATAACACCAACGTGTTATTACAATGTAGTTACAATCAGGGGGTTGGAACCAAAATGTTTTTTCCAATCATTTCGTTCTGAACAGAAACACTATTTTTATAGTTTCATTCCACTGTTCCCGACCAGCAAAATAAAGTTCTGAACCGGTTCGAACCCAAAACAAAAGTACCAGTTTACCTCCTTCCTTTCTGTTCATTTTTTAACCTGTGAAATCAACAGTATTTTACATTTAGCTTATTAAACTACTTCACCAATCAATGAGGATAGAGCAGGCGAGCTAGTCGTTTACAAGCGTGATGGACAGACGAGTGTAGCCTATGGTGCAAGACGCAAATTACATTTTGCGTGTGGGGAGAGAGCGAGAGAGAGGGTTGAGGATGAGGCTTGAAGCGCTGGGCATCTTGTTATGACATGCAGTAATTATACTGTATGAATTAGGTCCACAGAATTATACCTAGGAGGAGTGACTTCTATGGATGAACTTTGAATGTCTCTGAGCTAGCTAGCTAACAAGCTTGTGTCTGCAGAGCGGCACCAGAATTAAAACATGTCTAACCTTTTTGTTGTAACTAATAAATCCAATGGGAAACGTGATAACTAGGCCTATGGTATCCTTAACTAGCATTGAAAAAGTGAATCCATTCATCCTTAATTAAAAAGCTCTCTCCCTATCTTCTAAATCAACCTTGTAATGTCTGTACAGTAGCTCTGCTTCTGAGAGGGGAGGGGAGGGGCGGGCAGCCTAGACATGCACAGGCAAAGATTTCCAGCTTGCAGGCAGACACTGGAATACGTTTCTGAGTGACAGAGTGAGGGCTTTGCATAGGCGCTTCGTTGCATTTTGTTGTGGGACTAGAAGAAAGAAAATGCCTGGAATGTAAAATAATGTTATTAACCGGTTCCCAATGCTTTTAAAAAGAATGGTTCTGTTCCGGAACAGTATGGATCACTTTCGTTCCTGGTTCCATTTCTGTTCCTTCAAAAATGGTGTTCAGGTTTTCTGTTCTGTTCCCTGAACCGGTTCCAACCCCTGGTTACACTAGTAGTTACACTAGTAGTTACAATAGTAGTTACACTAGTAGTTACACTAGTAGTTACACTAGTAGTCATACTAGTAGTCACACTAGTAGTTACACTAGTAGTTACACTAGTAGTCACACTAGTAGTTACACTAGTAGTCACACTAGTAGTCTCACTAGTAGTCATATTAGTAGTCACACTAGTAGTCACACTAGTAGTTACACTAGTAGTTACAATAGTAGTTACAATAGTAGTTACACTAGTAGTCATATTAGTAGTTACACTAGTAGTTACAATATTAGTTACACTAGTAGTCAGACTAGTAGTTACACTAGTAGTTACACTAGTAGTCAGACTAGTAGTTACAATAGTAGTTACACTAGTAGTCACACTAGTAGTCACACTAGTAGTTACAATATTAGTTACACTAGTAGTCAGACTAGTAGTTACACTAGTAGTCAGACTAGTAGTTACACTAGTAGTTAAACTAGTAGTCAGAATAGTAGTCACACTAGTAGTTACACTAGTAGTCACACTAGTAGTTACACTAGTAGTCACACTAGTAGTCACACTAGTAGTTACACTAGTAGTCAGACTAGTATTTACACTAGTAGTCACACTAGTAGTTACACTAGTAGTTACACTAGTAGTTACACTAGTAGTCAGACTAGTAGTTACACTAGTAGTCACACTAGTAGTTACACTAGTAGTTACACTAGTAGTTACAATAGTAGTTACACTAGTAGTCAGACTAGTAGTTACACTAGTAGTCACACTAGTAGTTACACTAGTAGTTACACTAGTAGTTACACTAGTAGTCAGACTAGTAGTTACAATAGTAGTTACACTAGTAGTCACACTAGTAGTTACACCAGTAGTCACACTAGTAGTTACACTAGTAGTCAGACTAGTAGTTACACTAGTAGTCACACTAGTAGTCACACTAGTAGTTACACTAGTAGTCACACTAGTAGTCACACTAATAGTCACACTAGTAGTTACACTAGTAGTCACACTAGTAGTTACACTAGTAGTCAGACTTGTAGTTACAATAGTAGTTACACTAGTAGTCACACTAGTAGTTACACTAGTAGTCAGACTAGTAGTTACACTAGTAGTCACACTAGTAGTTACACTAGTAGTCACACTAGTAGTTACACTAGTAGTCACACTAGTAGTTACACTAGTAGTCAGACTAGTAGTTACAATTGTAGTTACACCAGTAGTCACACTAGTATTTACACTAGTAGTCACACTAGTAGTTACAATAGTAGTTACAATTGTAGTTACACCAGTAGTCACACTAGTATTTACACTAGTAGTCACACTAGTAGTTACACTAGTAGTCACACTAGTAGTTACAATAGTAGTTACACTAGTAGTTACACTAGTAGTCAGACTAGTAGTTACAATAGTAGTTACACTAGTAGTCACACTAGTAGTTACACTAGTAGTCACACTAGTAGTTACACTAGTAGTCACACTAGTAGTTACACTAGTAGTCACACTAGTAGTTACACTAGTAGTCAGACTAGTAGTTACAATTGTAGTTACACCAGTAGTCACACTAGTATTTACACTAGTAGTCACACTAGTAGTTACACTAGTAGTCACACTAGTAGTTACAATAGTAGTTACACTAGTAGTTACACTAGTAGTCAGACTAGTAGTTACAATAGTAGTTACACTAGTAGTCACACTAGTAGTTACACTAGTAGTCACACTAGTAGTTACACTAGTAGTCAGACTAGTAGTTACAATTGTAGTTACACCAGTAGTCACACTAGTATTTACACTAGTAGTCACACTAGTAGTTACACTAGTAGTCACACTAGTAGTTACACTAGTAGTCACACTAGTAGTCACACTAGTAGTTACACTAGTAGTTACACTAGTAGTCAGACTAGTAGTTACAATAGTAGTTACACTAGTAGTCACATTAGTAGTTACACTAGTAGTCACACTAGTAGTCACACTAGTAGTCACACTAGTAGTTACACTAGTAGTTACACTAGTAGTCACACTAGTAGTCACACTAGTAGTTACACTAGTAGTCACACTAGTAGTCACACTAATAGTCACACTAGTAGTTACACTAGTAGTCACACTAGTAGTTACACTAGTAGTCAGACTTGTAGTTACAATAGTAGTTACACTAGTAGTCACACTAGTAGTTACACTAGTAGTCAGACTAGTAGTTACACTAGTAGTCACACTAGTAGTTACACTAGTAGTCACACTAGTAGTTACACTAGTAGTTACACTAGTAGTTACACTAGTAGTCAGACTAGTAGTTACAATAGTAGTTACACTAGTAGTCACACTAGTAGTTACACTAGTAGTCACACTAGTAGTTACACTAGTAGTCAGACTAGTAGTTACAATTGTAGTTACACCAGTAGTCACGCTAGTATTTACACTAGTAGTCACACTAGTAGTTACACTAGTAGTCACACTAGTAGTTACAATAGTAGTTACACTAGTAGTTAACTAGTAGTCAGACTAGTAGTTACAATAGTAGTTACACTAGTAGTCACACTAGTAGTTACACTAGTAGTCACACTAGTAGTTACACTAGTAGTCAGACTAGTAGTTACAATTGTAGTTACACCAGTAGTCACACTAGTATTTACACTAGTAGTCACACTAGTAGTTACACTAGTAGTCACACTAGTAGTTACACTAGTAGTCACACTAGTAGTCACACTAGTAGTCACACTAGTAGTTACACTAGTAGTTACACTAGTAGTCAGACTAGTAGTTACAATAGTAGTCAGAATAGTAGTCACACTAGTAGTTACAATAGTAGTCACACTAGTAGTTACACTAGTAGTTACACTAGTAGTTACACTAGTAGTCAGACTAGTAGTTACAATAGTAGTTACACTAGTAGTCACACTAGTAGTTACACTAGTAGTCACACTAGTAGTTACACTAGTAGTCAGACTAGTAGTTACAATTGTAGTTACACCAGTAGTCACACTAGTATTTACACTAGTAGTCACACTAGTAGTTACACTAGTAGTCACACTAGTAGTTACACTAGTAGTCACATTAGTAGTCACACTAGTAGTTACACTAGTAGTTACACTAGTAGTCAGACTAGTAGTTACAATAGTAGTTACACTAGTAGTCACACTAGTAGTCACACTAGTAGTCACACTAGTAGTTACACTAGTAGTTACACTAGTAGTCACACTAGTAGTTACACTAGTAGTCAGACTAGTAGTTACACTAGTAGTCACACTAGTAGTTACACTAGTAGTCACACTAGTAGTCAGACTGGTAGTTACACTAGGAGTTACAATAGTAGTCACACTAGTAGTTACACTAGTAGTCACAATAGTAGTCACACTAGTAGTCACACTAGTAGTTACACTAGTAGTCACAATAGTAGTTACACTAGTAGTTACACTAGTAGTCAGACTAGTAGTCACACTAGTAGTCATACTAGTAGTCACACTAGTAGTCATACTAGTAGTTACAATAGTAGTTACACTAGTAGTCACACTAGTAGTTACACTAGTAGTCACACTAGTAGTTACACTAGTAGTTACACTAGTAGTTACGCTAGTAGTTACACTAGTAGTCACACTAGTAGTTACACTAGTAGTCACACTAGTAGTTACACTAGTAGTCACACTATTAGTTACACTTGTAGTTACACTAGTAGTCACACTAGTAGTCACACTAGTAGTCAGACTAGTAGTTACACTAGTAGTCACACTAGTAGTTACACTAGTAGTCACACTAGTAGTCAGACTGGTAGTTACACTAGGAGTTACAATAGTAGTCACACTAGTAGTTACACTAGTAGTCACAATAGTAGTCACACTAGTAGTCACACTAGTAGTTACACTAGTAGTCACAATAGTAGTTACACTAGTAGTTACACTAGTAGTCAGACTAGTAGTCACACTAGTAGTCATACTAGTAGTCACACTAGTAGTCATACTAGTAGTTACAATAGTAGTTACACTAGTAGTCACACTAGTAGTTACACTAGTAGTCACACTAGTAGTTACACTAGTAGTTACGCTAGTAGTTACACTAGTAGTCACACTAGTAGTTACACTAGTAGTCACACTAGTAGTTACACTAGTAGTCACACTAGTAGTTACACTAGTAGTTACACTAGTAGTCACACTAGTAGTTACACTAGTAGTCAGACTGGTAGTTACACTAGGAGTTACAATAGTAGTCACACTAGTAGTTACACTAGTAGTCACACTAGTAGTTACACTAGTAGTCACACTAGTAGTTACACTAGTAGTTACACTAGTAGTTACACCAGTAGTCAGACTAGTAGTCACACTAGTAGTCAGACTGGTAGTTACACTAGGAGTTACAATAGTAGTCACACTAGTAGTTACACTAGTAGTCACAATAGTAGTCACACTAGTAGTCACACTAGTAGTTACACTAGTAGTCACAATAGTAGTTACACTAGTAGTTACACTAGTAGTTACACTAGTAGTCACAATAGTAGTTACACTAGTAGTTACACTAGTAGTCAGACTAGTAGTCACACTAGTAGTCATACTAGTAGTCACACTAGTAGTCATACTAGTAGTTACAATAGTAGTTACACTAGTAGTCACACTAGTAGTTACACTAGTAGTTACGCTAGTAGTTACACTAGTAGTCACACTAGTAGTTACACTAGTAGTCACACTAGTAGTTACACTAGTAGTCACACTAGTAGTTACACTAGTAGTCACACTAGTAGTTACACTAGTAGTTACACCAGTAGTTACACTAGTAGTTACACTAGTAGTCACACTAGTAGTTACACTAGTAGTCACACTAGTAGTTACACTAGTAGTTACACCAGTAGTTACACTAGTAGTTACACTAGTAGTCACACTAGTAGTTACACTAGTAGTCACACTAGTAGTTACACTAGTAGTTACACCAGTAGTTACACTAGTAGTCACACTAGTAGTCACACTAGTAGTTACACTAGTAGTTACACTAGTAGTTACACTAGTGGTCCTCTGTAGCTCAGTTGGTAGAGCACGGCGCTTGTAACGCCAAGGTAGTGGGTTCGAGCCCCGGGACCACCCATACACAAAAATTAAAATGTATGCACGCATGACTGTAAGTCGCTTTGGATAAAAGCGTCTGCTAAATGGCATATTATTATTATATTATTACTAGTAGTCACACTAGTAGTTACACTAGTAGTCACACTAGTAGTTACACTAGTAGTCACACTAGTAGTCAGACTAGTAGTTACAATATTAGTCACACTAGTAGTTACACTAGTAGTCACACTAGTAGTTACACTAGTAGTCATATTAGTAGTTACACCAGTAGTTACACCAGTAGTCAGAACATAACTACGGGTATATTTAATGTATAGGGTAACATTTTACATGAAGTTGCTTTTTTATGATCTATTTAGAGTACTTATATTTAGAGAATTGTTCTGTGATGCAGTAGTTGTATAGCATTCTGTCTTCTGTGTCAGATGTTAACCCTATCCCTCCTGTCCCCCTATAGAGCCCAGAGCGATGTTTCCCCTGGTGCTCCACTTCCCAGAGAGGAACTCAGAGAGTTATGCCCTGGCCCACCTACCTCACCCCATGGACCTGCACTCCTTCACCGCCTGCATGCACCTGAGGACACACCCTGGAGGGGTACACACTGTCCTGTCATACTCCAGCCAGGGCCACGACAACGAACTGATGATCACCATGGGATATGAGGTGGGTGGGAGTCAGGGAGGGAGTCAGGGAGGGAGAGAGTCCAGGGAGGGACTCGGGGGGGTGGAGGGAGTCAGGGAGGGAGGGGAGTCAGGGAGGGAGGGATTCAGGGAGGGAGTCAGGGAGGGAGTCAGGGAGGGAGTCAAGGAGGGAGGGGAGTCAGGGAGGGAGGGAGTCAGGGATGGAGTTGGGAGGGAGGGGAGTCAGGGAGGGAGAGAGTCAGGGAGGGAGGGAGTCAGGGAGGGAGTTGGGAGTCAGGGAGGGAGGGAGTCAGGGAGGGAGTTGGGAGGGACTCGGGGGGTGGAGGGAGTCAGGGAGGGAGGGGAGTCAGGGAGGGAGTCAGGGAGGGAGGGACTTGGGGGGGGGTGGAGGGAGTCAGGGAGGGAGGGACTCGGGGGGGTGGAGGGAGTCAGGGAGGGAGGGATGGAGGGAGTCAGGGAGGGAGGGACTCGGGGGGGTGGAGGGAGTCAGGGAGGGAGGGAGTCGGGGGGGGAGTGAGCAAGGGAGGGCGGGAGGGATGGAAAAGTAATCAACAGTCTTATTTATATTTTTCATGTGATCCATCCAGGTGGGTCTGTGGATCGGCAACGAGTTTGTCAACCTGCCACACAACTTCCACTCCCGTGACTGGGTCAACTACTGTGTCACCTGGTCGTCCCACTCCGGGGGGGCTGAGCTGTGGATCAACGGGCTGGTGGGGGAGGAGCAGTACCTCCGTAGGGGATACACAGTCAGCCCAGCAGGGGTCTTCATCCTGGGCAAGGACCAGGACGGCTTCCTGGGGATTTCTGACACGGACGCCTTCTTGGGTCAGATGACGGATGTCAACGTGTGGGACTATGTTTTGAGCTCGGCTGAGATCCAGGAACAGATGTCCTGTGAGAACACCACCTCTCCCAGGGGGAACGTGTTCAGCTGGGGGGTCACTCCTCTGAGTCTTTATGGGGGGGTGCAGCTGGAGACAGACTACAGGTGTCCCTGAGAGGAGGGGTGGGGGGGGTGGGGGGTGCAGCTGGAGACAGACTACAGGTGTCCCTGAGAGGAGGGGTGGGGGGGGGGTGCAGCTGGAGACAGACTACAGGTGTCCCTGAGAGGAGGGGTGGGGGGGGGGGGTGCAGCTGGAGACAGACTACAAGTGTCCCTGAGGGGAGCAGACAACTGAAGCGCAGGGAAGCCTGGGTGGTGTTCAGTAGGGCACAACGTAGCAAAACGTTTTGCAACAGAAATAAAATATAAATCTGACTTCTTATTGGACAAGTTCAGGTAGTGCAGTACCATTGTGTTTCATGCCGTTTCAAAACATTTTGTCCCTACTGAACATGACCCTGTTCTCACAGAGCAGAGGATTCCCACTATCAACACAATGTAGTGCTGTACGGTCTAACATTATGTCCCGTCAATATATCAAATCTATCCTTTACTGCTGATGACTATTGAGTATAACTCATCTATTTGAGACATGGGTATCAGGTTCAGTATGACAATGTTTATTGTATGAGGGAAGGGAATCACGGAAGATCTCTGAACGTCCGTGTGGGCTCAGAGCATCAGCCATCTATCGCATTCATATCTTTGTATCCTCAATAAAGTTATATTTGAAGCATCTTGTATGTTTATTTGATTAAATTTAATAGCAATATACCGTTAGACAGGCTACAGAGCCAGTGAACTACAAAACAGACACACTCATCTAGACAGACATAGAAAGAAAATAAAAAAGATTTTAAAAAACAAAAAAACTTTTTAAAGGACCAGTGCAGTCAAACTTATGTTTTTCCTGTGTTTTGTATGATATTGTACAACAGCTGATGAAACGAACAGTGTGTTTTAAAAAAAATTAAATAATGTTTTTATCAGTGTTATTTCCTGATAGTTGCTGGTTGAAAATACAATCTTCACAGGACCATCTAATCAGCTTGTTTGCATGGGCGTGAGTTTCGGCTTGCCTGGTGACATCACCAGGCGGTAATGTTGGTTAATAGACCAATAACAAAGAGTTCCAAATATTTCTGCCAACTACGCTAGTTTAAAGTTTTCCCCACTCAGACCACTCCCAGACAGTCCTAGCAAAATTCTTCCTTGAGAAATAGCTTTTTGCGAAATGCTGTCATCAAGGCAAAGGGTGGCTATTTGAAGAATCTCAAATATAACATATATTTTGATTTGTTTTACACTTTTTTGGTTACTACATGATTCCATATGTGTTATTTCATAGTTTTGATGTCTTCACTATTATTCTACAATGTAGAAAATAAGAAAACATTAAGAAAAACCCTGGAATGAGTAGGTGTGTCCAAACTTTTGACTGGTACTGTGTATATATATATATATATATATATATATATATATATATATATATAAAGCACCCTCAGCACCCCATCTTCCTGAGGCTATGGATCTTAGTCTTGGAGGTGTGTTTCCTGACCGATTCAGCGTTTGGTTAATTATGTTTGTCCCCCATGAGACACGGTAGACATGGAAGCCTATTTCACTTGCTCAAAATCTTCTGAACGAATCTAAGATAAGTCAAGAAATCTGTAATACATTTGTAAGTTTTGCCGAGGATGTTTTAGTTGCGTAATTTTACATCTAACTAAGGTGTTTGGTGCAGTATTTCTCAAGTAAACAAAATGCGCGACGTGTTGTCTTATGTAAACATAGTCGGAGCTGCTGGGCAGGTCTGTCTCACTGTCTATGCTATTGGATAGAGAGCAATCACCGCAGCTGTTCACCCCATGTTAGTGGGCAAATGGACATCGTCAAATCAAAACCCAACCTTCATTTTCATGTTGTGATGCACAGATGTTCTAAACTCCGTTTTAGACGAGACTGACTTCATGACCAAAATTATCCTATTTACACTTCGTAGTCAATTTTGCCACTAGAATAACTCTTTCTGATTCAAATCAATGCCACATAGGCCGTTTTCAAAGGGATTTATTTATTTATTTTTATTCTGGGGGTAGATCAGCTTAATATTGCAGATAGATTGTAACTTCCAATCCCCATGTTTTTATATATATATATACTCCCCTTCAGTGGCGGTTTTACACGGAGGCCGGGGGAGGCCCGTGCCTCCCTGGAAATGTCCCTGGCCACCCCTGTGGCCCCCCCCGTGCTGACCAAATAAAAAATTATGAATTTATAACTATTTTACACGCGAGCGCCAAAAGCGGAACTAATGCAACGCTCTACACGGCAACGTTCTACACGGGTAAATTAGAGTGGCGCACCCAAAAACTGTATCCTGCCATCTGCCTGCCTGCCACGTGTGGTGCTGCTTCGGTGAATGAGAGCTCAGCAACTACTATTTGCGAGAGGAGCTACGATTTGCAGGAGTCGAAGGTAAGCAAAACGATTTAATATCATAAGTGACTTGTTGTTCTTGCACATAGCCTACATGTTCCTTTTGTTCCTCACACATAAATCAAATCAAGTTTTTAAATGTCTGGTCTCGATTTGTTTAGAAATGTAATCAATTACCCATATCAAGCAAACAAATATCAATTTAGTGGCATCTGTTGTTAAAAGTATATTACACCT